CAGTGAAAGAAAACTATTTAGATCTTGAAAATGTTTCACAAGTTTTTGAGATAAAAAATAAGTGCAAAGCGTTTAAACAAGGAGGTATGAATATTACAGAATATTATAACTCTCTGCAAACTTTATGGCAAGAGTTGGACATGTATTATGAAGAAGATTGGGGAGACCTTGAAGAGAACGCAAAGTTCCGGAGGCACCTTAAGAAAGAGCAGTTATATGATTTCCTTGCAGGTTTGCACAACGAGTTAGGTGAAGTTCGAGGCAGAATTCTTGGTTGAAAGCCATTGCCTACAATCGAAGAGCCTTTGCAGAAGTTCGACGTGAAGCTAGTAGGCGACAGGTTATGCTTAGAGAGAAGGATTAGCCAGTCGTATCCTTCAGTGAAAGACTTGTAGAGACAACTGCTCTTACTGTTCGGAACGTTGCCAACAAATCTACTGATCAAAAATCGAGTCAACGGTCTTGCTACTCACACTGCAACAAGCTTGGTCATATTCGGGAATGCTGTTGGTACCTCAATGACAAACCTGCAGATGTGAAATCTCGAATACAGGGTCAAGGTAAAGCTATTCAGACCACCACTGAGGAACAAAATGAAGGAACCAGTAGCACTAAATCAACTGGTGTCTTCTTAAATAAAGGACAACTGGAAAAGCTGTTAAATCTCCTAAATCAACAATCTGTATTGACCCCCAACACTGCCACAAACAACTTTGCTCATCAAAGTACGACTTTCCATATACAAAGGGAAAATCCTTGGGTGTTAGATTCCGGTGCATTCGATTACTTAATGGGTAACTCGTCTGTATTTTATTCTTATATGCCATGTTATGGAAATGTGAGAGTAAAAATGGCAGATGAAACTTTTACTTCAAAGTTTTGTATGTTTGTCAGGAAATTTGGTCCTACATTCTGTACTGCATGTTCCAAATCTAGCATGCAACCTTGTTTCAATTAGTAAACTTACTCAAGACCTTAATTGTATTGCTAAATTCTCTAATACTATGTGTCAAATATAGGAACAGAGATCAGAGAAGATGATTGTCGTTAGTAGAGAGGAAGGTGGACTTTACCACTTTAAGGACGATTATGTGTGAATAAACAAGCAGCAATAGCAGAAATTGATGTATCGTCTGATAAAGATGCAATGTTGTGGCACTATATGTTAGGCCACCCAAATTTTCATTATCTTAAACATTTGTTTCCTGATTTATTTATCAATAAAGATCTCAAAACTTTTCAGTGTGAATATCTTTTCCAGCTATACCTTACAGTGAATCTAGTTCCTTTTTTCTAGTACATAGTGATGTCTGGGGACCATATCGTATTCACTATATCACTGGCACAAAATGGTTCATTACATTCATTGATGATCATACAAGAATATGTTGGGTCTATCTCTTTAAAGAGAAATTTGAGGTTGTAAGGATCTTTCAAAACTTTCATGATATGGTAAAAAACCAATTCCAAATTACAATCGAAGTCTTGAGAACTGATAATTGAACTAAATACTTAAAAGCATGCTTGGAAGACTTCCTAGTAACTAATGGGTATTCTCCATCAAGGTTTCTGTACTAATACTCTACAATAAAAATGGGGTAGTAGAGAGAAAAAATCGACACTCACTTGACATTGCCAGAGCCTAATGTTCACTATATCAGTTTCTAAGTATCTTTTGGGAGAAGCTGTCTCACTGCATGTCACATTATAAATCGTATGCCATCAAAAGTTCTCAATTTGCAAACACTTTTGTCGATTATCCTCCAAAGTTACCCAATATTTCATTGCCCGTTATTTATCCATCTAAAGACCTTTGGATGTACTGTATTTGTGCATGACCATCGGAACCATCGTTTAAAACTTGATCCAAAATCTATTAAATGTGTTTTTATTGGGCACTCATCCAAAAAATGTTATAAGTGTTACTCTTCCACTTCTCATCAAATGTTTGTTTCCATGGATGTCATCTTTTTCGAGAATCAATCCTTCTTTTCCAGGTCCTCACTTTAGTGGGAGATTTGAGATCAAACTGAGTATTGGGAAAAGTTTGAATAAGAAGTGTCTAATCCCACATCATCCTTTTTACCACGTCCTACTCCTATAGTATTTGAACCCACTGAGCCGATTGAGTCACAACATGTTGGAACAAGAGAAGGGTGGTAGAAGAACATAGTTTATTCAGGAGGCATCTCATGGTAGTGACAAAATTGAGACTTTGCAAAGTCTAGACTCTGAGCCTACTCCTGTTCTTGCTCTAAGTCTTGAGACTATTAATGATATGGTTGATGAAGAATTGAACCTACAAAGTTTCTGTAGAGAATTATTAGTTTTTTTCATTTTTTATTTTATTATGATTTTTATTGTTATTCGGGTAAAGGGAATCTCCGGCATGCTGGGAGGTGTGTTATTCCATTTTTCTGTTATCATACCTAGTTATACAGTTGTAAAATATGGTTGTAATTCCTCTATAAATGAGCACCATTCGGTGCCTGTAAATGTATGAAGAAAGAAGGAAAATTTCAGGAAATTATCTTCAGTTCCAGTTCACCCTGAATAGAGGACCTACATGTTTCTATTGCAATTAAGAAAGACGTGAGATCATGTACTCAACACCCAATCTCTATATTTGTCTCATATGAAAAATTATCTACAGGGTTTTCTACCTTTACCACTACTTTAACAAGTGTTGAGATGTTGAGGAGCATTGAGGAAGCCCTTACAGATCTGATATGGAAAAAGACCGTTCAAGAAGAAATGAACACCTTGAAAACAATTCATATATGGGAGATTGTAGAGCTACCGAGAGGAAAAACCATAATTAGATGCAAATGGATTTTCACAGTAAAGTTTAATGCAGATGGCAGTTTTAGCAGGTATAAAGTAAGATTTGTCGATAAAGGTCTCACTCAAACATATGGGATAGACTATAAGGAGATATTTGCTCTAGTTGACAAGTTAAATGCTATTAGAGTCCTTTTGTCACTAGTGGCCAATCTTGATTGACATATTCAATAGCTAGATGTAAAGAATGCGTTCCTAAATGGAGACTTACATGAAGAAGTGTATATGGACCCACCATTAGGGTTCAAACCAAAGGAAAACTTGGTTTGCAAGTTGAAAAAATCTCGTTGTGGCTTAAAACAATCTCCAAGAGAGTGGTTTGAAAGATTTACTCAAGCTGTCAAGAAACGGGGACTACTACGGGTGCAGTCAGACCACACTCTCTTCTACAAGGATTCTAAAAGTGGGAAAAGCTATCTTGATTGGGTATGTAGATGATATAATCATCATAGATGATAACCACAGGGAGTTGGAGCAATTAAAAAATTACTTGGCAGAGGAATTTGAATTGAAAGATCTATATACCCTAAAATATTTCTTGGGAATGGAAGTTGTCAGAAGTAGGGCTGGTATAGTGGTATCGCAGAGAAAGCATATTTTGAATCTTCTCTAAAACACAGGAATGCTGAGGTGTAAGCCAGGTGAAATTCCCATGGAACCTAACTTAAAACTTGGACTTGAAAGAGGAAAGGAGGTTAACAAAGAGCAATCCTAGAGACTAGTAGGCAAACTAATTTACTTGGCTCACACACGTCTAGATATTGCCTTTGCTATAAGTGTAGTTATTAATTCATGTACTCACTAAAGGAGAAACATCTAGAGGCAGTCTATTGAATATTGAGATTTTAAAAAGTATTCCAGGAAGATGACTATTTTTCAAAAAGGGAGATAATAGAATAGAGAAAGTATATACAGATATAGACTGAGTAGGTTCCTTTGTAGATAGACAGTCAATTTCTGAGAAGTAAGAAGCAACCAGTAGTAGCAAGAAGTAGTGTCGAGCCTGAATTCCAAGCACTATCCTATGGTATTTGTGAAGGGGTGTGGCTTGAAAGATTGCTAAGAGAATTAAAAGTTTTAAGCAATGCTCTAGTAAGACTTTATTACGATAACAAAGCTGCAGTTAGTAATGCTCACAACTCTGTTCTTCATGATAGGACAAAACATGTAGAAGTGGACTGACATTTTATTAAAGAAAAAATTGATAATGGAAGCATATACATGATATATATTCCAACCAACGAACAAACATCTGACATATTGATAAAGAGTCTTCACAAGTCAAGTCTTGAGGATATAGTAAAAAAGTTGGGAATGACAAACATTTACATT